CTCTGCTATGGCCTGGGAAAGCAGCAGAAGATGGCCCAAGTCCTTGGGCCCCTCAACCCACATGGGAGACCCAGAAAAACTTGACTCCTGGCTTCAGATCACCTCAGCTCTGGCCTTTGGGGCCATTTTGGGGAGTGAACCAGCAGACAGAAGATCTCTCTCTCTCTCTCTCTTTCTCTCTTTTTCTTTCTCTGGCTCTACCACTTTATGCAACTCTGTCTTTCAAATAAATAAAATAAATCTTTTAAAAAATAGAATATTAAACTTTACAGAGCTAAAAAACTAAAATATAAAAATAAGAATTATAGTGCAATAAAACACTTGAAAGTAGAAAGAAAAAAGTTAAAGCAGTTAAAACTTACAGATTTAAATCCTATCATGAAAATAATAAGAGTGTTATAAGCTACCAAGAGGAATTAAAGATAGCATACTAAAATCTCTGCACCCCATCTATGTGAATTAATGGAATCAAAGACCCCTGCCCAAAGGCATTTTAAGGCAAAGAATCCAATTCATTAGGTGTACTTTACAATGAAAAGGGGGAAAACAGGCTATTTATGCTCTTACTTATCCACACTCTTCCTAGGAAAATATACTTCTATGGTTCTACAACCTTTTTTTCAGAATAGTTGTAGTTGTAGCAAAAATGGCCCACAGTCAGTGTTAACCAATTGAATAAATTCTTTCAAGGCACACACTTTAGTTAATTCAAAGGGGATGAACTGACTCTCAAGAAAGATTTGCCCAGTATAATAGTTCTGTTGCATGACTGAGATTCCTTCCTGTCCATCAGAAGCAGGATTGATTTCTTGTTCTTCCATCTTAACTATCTTAAATGGGACTTTGATTTTATTGCTTTTCACAGGAGAATAAAAAGTAAAAAGTTACAGAAGATTAATTATCCAATATAATTTGGGTACTCAAAAATAAAAACCAGCAGTATGATGCTGTGATGTATTGAGCAGTTTGAATGAAAGGAAATTAGAAGGTCTTAGAATCAAGACTCTGTAACCTTCCATTGTTTCTCTTGAGGGAGAACACAAAGGGGCTTTTGAAGGAAGTGAATTCATTTCCTTTTTTTAAAGATGTATTTCTTTAGTTTGAAAGTCAGAGTAACAGAGAGAGAGGAGAGCAAGCAAGAGAGAGAGCTCTTCCATGCACTGGTTCACTACCCAAATGGCTGCAGTAGCCAGGCCCAGACCAGGCTGAAACCAGTAGCCAGGAGCTTCACCTGTGTCTCACACATGGGTGACAGGGCCCCAAGTACTTGAGCCATCCTCCACTGCTTTCTCAAGTGCATTTGCAGTGAGCTAGGTAGGAAGAGGAACAGCTGGGCCTCCAAAGGGCACCCATATGGCTTACCCATTACGCTATACTGCCGGCCCCAAGAAGTACATTATTTTTTTTATAAAAAAGTATGTTTTTTTCAAAACAACTCAAATAGAAAGCAATCCAAGTCAATTATCAGGAGAACATATATGCCTATTGTGGTATATTCATGAACAGTATTCAACATTAAAAATGAATTAAGTAAATCATAACAATATGGATCAATATCATCATTGTCAATTGAATTATGTCCCCACAAATCCCAGTGAAATTGTATTTGTAGACAATTTATCATTTAGGAGGTAAAGTAAATGAAATTTTAAGGGCAGAATCCTACTCCAGTAGGATTGGTGGCCTTTGTAATAGAAAATGAACTCAGTCCTCTTGGTGCATCTTCCAAATCTTAAAATCCTTGAAGGGGGAGAGAATCAAAGGGCAGAAAATTGGTTCTTTGTTTTCTCCATGGCCTACTCTTAGCTGTTGGAGTATTCTTCTTTTTTTTTTAAAGATTTATTTATCTGAAAGACAGCGTTACAGAGAGGCAGAGAAAGAGAGAGAGAGAGAGAGAGAGAGAGAGAGAGGTGTTACATCCATTGGTTCACTCCCCAAATGGTTGCAGTGGCGGAACTGGGCTGATCTGAAGCCAGGAGCCAGAAGCTTCCTCCGGTTCTCACCATGTGGTGCAGGGGCCCAAGGACTTGGGCCATCTTCTGCTGATTTCCCAGGACATAGCAGAGAGCAGGATCAGAAGTGGAACAGTTGGGACCCAAACCTGCATTCACATGCGATGCCAGCACAGTAGGTGGCAGCTTTACCTGCTACACCAAGTACCAGCAACTGTTTGAGTATTCTTTTTTTCTTATTTTTTTTATTTAGTAAATATAAATTTCTGAAGTACAGTTTATGGGTTACATTGGCTTCCCCCCCCCAATAATTTCCCTCCCACTCGCACCCCTCCCATCTCCCACTCCCTCTCCCATTCCATTACATCAAGATTCATTTCCAATTATCTTTATATACAGAAGATCGATTCAGTATATATTAAGTAAAGATTTCATCAGTTTGCACCCACACAGAAACACAAAGTGTAAAAATGCTGTTTGAGTACTAGTAAAAGCGTTACTTCACACTGGACAACACATTAAGGACAGATCCCACATGAGGAGTAAGTACACAGTGACTCCTTTTTGTTGACTTAACAAATTGACACTCTTGTTTATGGCGTCAGAAATCTCCCTAGGCTCTAGTCATGAGTTGCCAAGGCTATGGAAGCCTTTTGTGTTCGCTGACTTCGATCTTATACCGACAGGGTCATAGTCAAAGTAGAAGTTCTCTCCTCCCTTCAGAGAAAGGTACCTCCTTCTTTGATGGCCCCATTTTTTCCACTGGGATCTCACTCGCAGAGATCTTTCATTTAGGTCTTCTTTTTTTTTTTTTTTTTTTTCCCCCAGAGTGTCTTGGCTTTCCATGCCTAAAATACTCTCATGGGCTCTTCAGCCATATCCGAATATCTTAAGGGCTGATTCTGAGGCCAGAATGCTATTTAGGACATCTGCCATTCTATGAGGCTGCTGTGCATCCCGCTTCCCATGTTGGATCGTTCTCTCCCTTTTTGATTCTATCAGTTAGTATTTGCAGACACTAGTCTTGTTTATGTGATCCCTTTGACTCTTAGACCTATCAGTGTGATCAATTGTGAACTGGAGTTGATCACTTGGACTAGTGAGATGGCATTGGTACATGCCACCTTGATGGGATTGAGTATTCTTTATAAAAAATTGTGAAGGTGGCCGGCGCCGCAACTCAGTAGGCTAATCCTCCGCTTACGGGCGCCAGCACACCAGGTTCTAGTCCTGGTCGGGGCACTAGATTCTGTCCCGGTTGCCCCTCTTCCAGGCCAGCTCTCTGCTGTGGCCTGGATGGGCAGTGGAGGATGGCCCAGGTCCTTGGGCCCTGCACCCGCATGGGAGACCAGGAGAAGCACCTGGCTCCTGGCTTCAGATCAGTGCGGTGCACTGGCTGCAGCACATCAGCCGCAGTGGCCATTGGAGGGTGAATCAACAGAAAAGGAAGACCTTTCTCTCTGTCTCTCTCTCTCTCACTGTCCACTCTGCCTGTCAAAAAAAAATTGTGAAGGTGAGAAATATGCTTTTCAGTTATAATCAAAGGTTAACACAGTTAGCCTATTGACTAGTGAGCCTTGCACTTACCCAGGAATAAAAAAAAAAAAAAAAAAAACCAGCAAATTCTTTCTAAAATAAATCTTTAGCATTTATTTTATTAGTTATTTGTTAGCACTCTATGCTGTTTGAGTATAGAACTATTATTTTTAAGAGGAAATATTGCACTCAGAATCATAGCAGATATTTAAATGACTAGAATGAAAGAATTGTATTTGCATATTATTTCTATATTATTGAAAGAGTGTTGTAAATGAATTCAGCACCATGGCGTTAGGGGACTAGAAAAAGAAACATGGGAACTGATAGATTATTATCAAGGTAAAGGTACTTATTCCCAAGGTGGCAAATTCTACCTATTCTAGCTTTTATTATCCTAAGGATAGTGTTCTATTTATTTCATGAGTACAGAAGTTTTAATTGGGTATGTCATGTTTCAAAGACAAAAGAAATGCCTAATTCATTCTAACAAACTTGTTAGTCACTGTTTATACCAAGAGGATTTCTACTCTACAGAGAATAATATTGTTTTCTTTTTCCTTTGTTGATAAATCAAAGTTTTATCCTGACCTACAGCAGACAGGAATACTTTAAAGAAAAATCATCTCAAGCTAACAGAATTGCATCCTTTTAGCTTTATGTATTCTTTGCCCCCCTTTCTTATTTTTTAAGAAATTCAATATCCAAAAATAATCTGAGGAAAAGGTATTAGTTAAATTTGTCCCAATACCTAATCAGATAAGAGTAAAGTTATTTCTAGGTCTTTTTGTATTTTGATTTTAATAAGATTTATACAGGTTTGTGGTATTTTTTTCTCCTTAGAAGTTGTTAAGTTGCTTACAGATTTTTGCTTCATTGAAAAGGTTTGGTTCATCAAAACTGTGTAGCCAGCATAGAAATGATTTGTAGAAACTACTTCACCCCTATACTTGGGTTTCTATTTGTTATGAAGTCACAAAAATTCAAGAAATGAGATTTTTTCCATGGTGTACCCTGCCTAGTGCATGATCTTTCGCTTGAAAAAGAAGGTGGTGGTAGGGGGTGATACAGTTTCAGTCTACCCTAATTCTGTTACTGTTTGCTTTGTTCAGCAATCGCTCTGATCCTCCTGGCAGGGAACATGATCCAGAGAACAAAACTAGTAGTGACTGTGTAGATAAAAAGGCAATGAATTCAGCTTTTAAGGCAAAGGGGGAATAGTCTACAAAGAATGAAAATAGGAATAAAAGTATACCATTGTTAACCTACAGATCTATTGTACTTTTGAAAATCTTAACGCTGTATAAAAAAAAAGTGACAGTACAAAGATACATAATTATGTGACTGAAAATCATGAAAAAGGTCACTGTTTAGTTACTGGCCAAATACTTGACAAGAAAATAGAGTAGATTATTCATAATTGAAAGACCAAAGAATTCTTTTGCTTAAAATGACAGGACAGTGTTTCAACAATATATTAGGTACCATAATATATTATTTATTCTCTACCAGAACAACTCTTCAGATATGGTGAAGATGATGGGGTCAAGAAGAGTACTACAGAGAAGAATGAGAAAGAAATGTTGGAGCAGACATTACAGAAGGTAGTCTAATCTTCAAGATATTGAGCTGAGCAAGTTAAATCTGACTTTTAACATAAAGGATTATGTTTTAAAATGTGGGCTCATGATCTTAAACCTTATGTGAATCCTTAATTTAAATTCATAATTCAAAATCATTGGCTTGCCAAAATGGGGTTAAAGAAATCAATGTTAGTGAAATAAATGTATAAATACTTGTGCTTATGTTGACATAGATTAGAAATATTTTCAAACACAAAATAAAGAGAATGAAGACAATAGAAATTGACAGAATTTAGACTATATGTGCATATTAGTTAGGAATTTAACTAAAAGGTCATGATGAGACTCCACTATACTTCAACAAACATACAAATTTACAGTATTTGTACTAAAAAACTGAGCATACTTATAGCTCTATTGTAGTAAAATGGTAATATGTTTATATTTTAATTTTAAATTTGAAAATATACATGACATCTCGTTTTAGATAAAAATTTATACCCATATGATTTAGTGTAGCTCTCTATGTTTTAATAAGAAAATCTACGTCAATCCTGTAAATATAAGATAGCATCCCTATCATTAATAAAATACTATTTTAAAATTATAACATTATCTTGACAATTATACATCTAATTTATATTTTTGCTGTATAAAGACAATTAAGTGGGCTTGATTGTGTTAACTCATGTAAAGAAAATATCTTTAAATTCTTTATAACTCATTTGGCTACACCTACACTGGATTTTTAAAAATAAATCTTTAATACTTAGGTAATGCTGTAGGTGCACAAATATATAAACAAAAATATCAATGTAGCTACTTATATTTCTTGCTTCTGTGAATTCACTTGTAGTAGATCTAGTGATTTACAACAGATGATGTGATTTTCCATACTTGGAACACTTGCCATATGGTCAGGTATCAAATGCTGTCATCTCATGATTACTGGATGACATACATCAGGTTAACATAATGACACAGAGCAAGGAATGTACCTTTTCATTTATCTTGAGGTAAAATGAACAATTGAAATAACCTATGCATTACCAGCTAAGCTGTCATATAGTTTATACTAGGCTGCCATCTTTGTTCCAGATCTTAGATTTCTAGATTTTAAAACTGTGAGAAAGTAAATTTTTGTTGTCTAAGAAACACACTATGTGGCACTTTTTAATGGCAGCTTTAAGAGCTAATATACACAATTTACAATGTCAAGTGATTTATTTCCATTTGGTAAATTATTTTAAATGTGCATTACTAAAAGGAAAATAAACAGCGTGAACTGATGTACAACACTCAAACCAAATGCCTTTAACAATCCCCCAGACTCCTGTTCCCAAATATATGTTGAAATTTACCTTTTTTATTTTTAAGAGTGAATTAATTTTTATTTATTCGAAATAGAGAGGGCCTGGCAGGCTAAGGCACTGCCTACAACACTGACATGCCATATGGGTACTGGTTCATGTCCTGGCTCCTCCATTTTTGATCCAGCTGTCTGCTAATGCCCCTGGGAAAGTAGTAGAAAATGTCCAAGTGCTTGGACTCCAGCACCCTTAGGAGACCTGGAAGAAGCTTCTGGTTTCCTCTTCTTTATTTTTCTCCCTCTCCCTCTATCTCTGTAATTTCCCCTTTCAAATAAATAAATCTTTTAATAAAAAAAAGCAGAGGGAGAGAGAAGGAATGAATGCTGCTTCACTCCCCAAACTCCTTTAATGGCTGAAGCTGAGCAAGCCTGAATCCAGGGCCCCAGAACTCAATCCAGGTCTTCCACATGTGTGCCAGGAATCCAACTACTTAAGACATCATCATCTGCTACCTTTCAGGATTTGCATTAGCAGGAAGCTGGACTTGAAGGTGGAGCTGGGACTCAAGTCCAGGCACTCCAGTGTAGACGGAGGTGTCCCAAACTGAGCTGAATGCCTAACCTCTTTCTACTTTTAGAGTCTTAGATTCAGCCTAACAGTTTTAGAGAGTATACACTAAAGAACACTTTAGTAGGTGCTGTGTACTTTCCCTTACCAATGTCTTTAGAAGTACTGTCATTGAGGCCGGCGCCGTGGCTCAACAGGCTAATCATCTGCCTTGCGGCGCCGTCACACCGGGTTCTAGTCCTGGTCGGGGCGCCGGATTCTGTCCCGGTTGCCCCTCTTCCAGGCCAGCTCTCTGCTGTGGCCAGGGAGTGCAGTGGAGGATGGCCCAAGTCCTTGGGCCTTGCACCCGCATGGGAGACCAGGAAAAGTACCTGGCTCCTGCCATTGGATCAGTGTGGTGCGCCGGCCGCAGCGCGCTGGCCACGGCAGCCATTGGAGGTGAACCAATGGCAAAAGGAGGACCTTTCTCTCTGTCTCTCTCTCTCTCACTGTCTACTCTGCCTGTCAAAAAAAAAAAAAAAAAAAAGTACTGTCATTGAGTTACTGTTTGCTCTAATCGTATACTTAAATACAAATACTTTTGACCAGTTCTTATGATAAACCATAGAATCACATTAGACTTTAAAGGCACATTTTCAATTTTCACGTGTATGGCTGACTGGTGTGGTAACTTTCCTTCCTATCATTGTCATCAGGGTCACAGCTGACTCTCCCATAACAAAGAAAGGTAAACAAAAGAAAAGCATAGCAAATATATTTAATTCAGGTTTTATGTGCTATGTGTATTCAGAAATAAAGACCCTCAGATCCTGGGAGAACTCTATTTTTATGGGTTGGTTTGATGGAGAATGAACAATCACAAATAAATGTGATTGCAGGGAAAGGTGTCAACTAAAGGTAATAGACTGTGTTGTGGAACACCTATTTGCTCAGACTCTTGATCTCTCTCATTAGGTTCGTTTCTCTGGACCGTGGGTGTTCAAGAAAGAAAAGAAAGTGACCTTTCTGGATCTTATAACTTCTTTTGATTGAGATGAATTCTAGTTTCAATGACAAACCTTAGGGAATAGGAATTCTAGTTTGTATGATTCACTTCATGAGAGGAGAGGCCAGGAGACATAAGCCCAGGAGGTCAGAGAGACCTTGTTTCTGAGGCCCTTGAGTGCCCTTCAGTATAAAGGACTCAGCATGTCTATGTGCTGTACTTGGGGATTCTGTTCTGAGTTCCAACATGTGTAAAATTTTCATGAGTTTTAGTCAAAAAAATACTAATTTCCAAAATTGAAATTTCATATTTCATGTTTATTTACTACATTTGTTTATGAATGTTTTATTTTAATTAAAAGTTTAAGGTTTTTTTTTTATTAGATAATGCAGCTTATTTACCACAAGAAATTATATTTTATTTCAAATAGTTTTTTTAGAAAGGTATTAAGATTAGGGGCTGGCGCTGTGGCATAGCAGGTAAAGCCACCGCCTGCAGTGCCGGCATCCCATATGGGCACCGGTTCAAGACCCAGCTGCTCCACTTCCAATCCAGCTCTCTGCTATGGCCTGGGAAAGCAGTAGATGTGGCCCAAATCCTTCAGCCACTGCACCCGTTTGGGAGATCGGGAAGAAGCTCCTGGTTCCTGGCTTCAGATTGGCATAGCTCTGATGGTTGCGGCCAAATAGGGAGTGAACCAGCGGATGGAAGACCTCTCTCTCTCTCTCCTTCTCTCTCTGTGTAACTCTGACTTTCAAATAAATAAATAAATCTTTTTTTTTAAAAAAGAAAGGTATTAAGATTAGTAATAGGGGCAGATGTTGTGGCACAGTGGGATAAGTGGTCAGTTGGGACTTTTGCATCCCATATAGGAGTATTTAGTTTGAGTCCCAGGTACTCTGTTTCCAAGCCAGATTTCTGGTAAAGCATCCTGGGACTTAAGTGTTTGGGCCCCTCCCACCCACACAGGAGACTCAGGAGGAGTTGTGGACTCCTGACTGTTGGGGCATTTGGGGAGTAAGCCAGAGGATGGGCAATCTTTTGTTTCTCTCTCTCTCTCTCTCTCTCTCTCTTCTTTCTCTTTTCTTTCTATCTTTATCTCTTGCTCTGCCATTCAAGTACATGAAGATAAACATTTTTTAAAAATTAGTAATAATAGAAACAATAATGACAATAATGGTAAATTATTTAGAATTACCTGTGTGAGGAACTGTGGTTTGCCATCATATTTAATATAACAAACTTACAAATATTACTATTCCCATTTCATAGATAAAGGTTAAATATTTTATTAGCTAAACCAGCTAGAACTGGACAATACACATCTGATTTAAGATTCCATTTTCCTTCAGATCATATTGCTTCCTTTTTTTTTAAAGATTTATTTATTTATTTGAAAGTCAGAGTTACACACAGAGAGAAGGAGAGGCCGAGAGAGAGGTCTTCCATCCACTTGTTTACTTGGCCTCAATGACCAGAGCTGAGCCAGTCCAGAGTCAGGAGCTTCCTCCGGGTCTCCCATGAGGGTGCAGGGGTCCAAGGACCTGGGCCATCCTCTACTGCTTTCCCAGGCCACACTAGCGCCCATATGAGATGCCAGCACGGCAGATGGCTGCCTCACTCACTATGCCGCTACACCAGCCCCAAATATTGCTTCTCATTAATACTTTTATACCACCACTATCTAAGCCCCTTTAAAAAAAGTTTATTTTCTTGCACAAAATACATATTTAAAATAAAGTCTATTCTACCCAGTCTACTCTGGAATTGAAATTAATTATGGAAAGTGTACTGTTTGGGTAGTAATTAAAGATCCACTGAGGGAAATTGAAGAGCATATAAAGTAGTGATATTCCTTATTTGTCTGGAGCAATCCTTTAATGAAAGTATAATAAAATTCAGAGATAGAGTGATTTGGAAGAATTAAGTTTGTGTTTTCATGAACACTATATTTTTTATCACATTTCCCAGCTCTCCAATAAAGTATTGCAATGAGAAGGAGCAATAAAATCTCTTTCACAGAAATATACAAGATCAACTATAGTTTGGTTAAAATATTATAAGTTTATGCTCAGATCAAGAATATTTCCTATAAGAACATAGGTCCAATAGTAGGTAAGTATATTATATGGTGACATAGAAGCGATTAAAATTAGGTGAGATTCTTCAAACTGTGTTGGCAAATATCTATGCTCCAGGGTGCGATAACCAACCAGTAAACTACTGTTGAATTAAATGAAGGAAGTTGAACTCAAAAGAACAATAGGTGTACAGAAGTATAAGTAAATCTGAGATGACTGAAACTTATGTTTAGGAAACAGCTTACATATTCACAAGTTCAGTAAACTGGAAAATGTTAAGAACCCGTATAATTTTGATCTTGTACATTTCTGTAATATTACTTTGCATCATTGATTATGGTCTTAGTCCTTTATGGCTGCTATAACTAAATACTAGTATACTGAGTAGCTTATAAACAACACAGATTTCTTTCTCATAATTTTTGAAGTTTAAGTTGAGAAATCCAAATTCAAGGTACTCACAGATTTGACATCTGCTGAGGGCCTGCTTACTGTGCTTACCTTCTAGCTTTGTCCTCACATGGGTCAGGAGCTAGCTAGGTCTTTGGGATCTCTTATAAGGGCATTAATCCATTCATGAGACTCTTCATTTATGACCTAATTTACCCTTCAAACACCCCACCTCCTGTTACTTTACTTTAATGATCACATCAGTTGTCAACACATCTGAAAAGTTTCTGATTTCAAGAATTTTGCTTTGAAAGTAAAAATGCATTCATATCAATTTCCAATCATTTACATTTCTGGTATAACCCTGGTTCTTTCTTAATTCCAATCTTTATTAATTTTCCCTGTATTCCTGGGTAGCTCTTCTTTCTCTTATGGCTTCTGGGATGGTAGAAGTATGGTAAAATCCTGAACGTTAAAGCCAAGTTCATGGCAGGAAAGGTTTACCTCTGTATAATTTAAGTTTTCAGCCTCTTTCCTTTTTCTGTTTCAGTTCTGGAAAGATAATTATTGGTCTACTTGCCTCATGTTTTTGAGCTGATCTGAAGAGATGATGTTTATAAAACTATTCTGTAAATAGTAAAATATGCTTTATAAAGAATAGTGTTTATCATTTATTTTTCAGTATCTACTCTAAATCAGCTCCTCCATTAAATTTTATGTTCATGAATTAGAATTAATTGCTCTTATGTGGATGTTCAGACTTATGGCACCTGGATCAAATTTCTTGTTAGGTTTCAGTTTACAAGTATCTGTTTTCCAAATAGTTTTTGGAATTCTTTAATGTCAGGAAATACTTGTTACCTTTGCTGTGCCCTCCATGAACATCGTATATTGACATAAATGAAATATATATATATATGCAAGCTTGAAATAATTTGAAGTTAAAATAAAATTGTTAAGACTTTTGATAGACTGTTGGAGCTGTGACACATTGAGTGGCCTTCAAAGCAACATTGTGTTGAGGACCTCTGAGTGTGCCTTGTTTCTCCCCTCCCAGTATAGGGAGAGGCTTTTTGCAAAGTGATCTAAGCAGCTCAAAGTGCAGACTGTGCCTGCCAAGGAAGGAATAGTTCCCTCTGCTTCCTTTCCTGACTTTTCATGAACTAAACTCACATCACAGGAAGATTGCAGTCTGTCAACATACTTGGACAGACTTCTGTCACATATCATTGTCTTGTATTTTGGTCCCCAAAGAATTATTTATAAATTATTGGCTATCTTGGGGGCCATAGTATGTTCTCCATGCCCACTGAGTTCCCCTAAAAAGTCAGTCAATGATTGTTTACAGCCCTTGTCTCTTCTGTTGAAGAACAGTATTTTGTTTTGTTTTGTTTTTCATACTATTTGTTAAACTTTTTTACTTAGTGTAAGGTTAACTTTATGATCATTAAGTAAATTTAAGGTAGATCTCTGTAAAAATTAAGAATGGGAATGGGAGAGGGAGGAGGAAGAAGGGTTGGAGCGTGGGTGGGAGAGAGGGAAGTATTACTGTGTTCCTTAATCTGTATACATGAAATACATGAAACTTATATAACTTAAATAAAATTCCAAAAGAAAAAAAGTCAATCATTTCCATTCCCTAAAATTTGTCTACAGTTCCTATACTCCTTTCCCTTATAGAACAGGGTGTGTGTGTGTGTGTGTATGTGTGTGTGTATATGTGTGTGTGTGTGTGTGTGTGTGTGTGTATATATATATTGCTGTTGAGTTACTGGCGGGGGCAAGAGTAGGGGTATCACACTTGTGTGATTTTACCATGTCTGGTGATTTTTCCCTTTTACCATGTTAATAAATGTGTGTATCTTTTCCCCTTTTAATTCTGTCCTTGTAAATCTATTACAGCAAATCTTCAGACAGCAGAAGGAAAATTTCCACTTGCCCTTAGAAAACTTAGCACCACTTGACTACTAAGTTATATTTTTCTTTCTTTTTTAAAATTAGTATTAATTTATTTGAAGGTCAGAGTTAGAGAGTGAGAGGGAGAGACAGAGAGACAGAGAGGGAGAGATCTTCCACCCACTGGTTCAATCCCCAGAGGGCCAGGAACTTCATCTGGGTCCCCTACATGTATGGCAGGGGTCCTAACGCTTGGGCCATCTTCTGCTGCTTTGCCCACGCCATTAGTAAGGAGTTGGATCAGACCTGGAACAATTGGGACAGGGAGGTGGATTGGAAGTTCAATAGCCAGAACACGAGCTGCTATCCAGATGGGTTGCTGATGTTGCAGGTGATGGTTTTACTCACCATGCTACAATGCTGGCCCCATGGTTTCCTAATTTAGAAAAAAAAAAAAAAGCAGTTTCAATAATCATAGATTGTTTTGTATTTAGTCATTACGTTTTTTAAGATTGTTGAGTATTAAAGAAAAATATTAATAATACATTTTTTCTATGTATCCTTTTCTGGACTTTTTGTGTAAATTTTTTATCTGAAAATATGTTTTCATAATAAATAGCCTATAAGCAAGACACATAGGAGCTCAGAAAACTCTGCAGTATATTAGCATGCTTAGTTCTGTGTCACTTTGTATAGAATTTTAACTTACCATCTGTCCTTTATCCAGCAGATGTATTATTGCACTCTTAAATGTATTCATCTATGCTACCTTAGAATTACTTAAGAACTAAGTACAATGGATTTATTTTGTCCTTGTGCTAATTGCAATTTTTTCATCAGAAATGATAATAAAAATACAGAAGATTATGGTTTTGGATTTTTAAAAGCATAAATTAAACTCTTTTGCTTAGGTCATTGAGTTGGAAAATCGGCTAAAATCTTTTGAGAAAAGATCGAGGAAATTAAGAGAGGGAAATAAAAAATTAATACAAGAAAATGATTGCCTGAAATCCCTCTTACAACAGCAGCAAGAAGATGCAGACACCAGAGAAAAAGAGCTAGAACAGCTCCTAAAGGAGAGTAAAGATGTAGAAAAAGACAAAACTGAACTTCAAGTAAAAATCAGTGAGCTGGAGAGAGAAGTCACTTCCCTGAGGAGACAAGTGGCAGAAGCTAATGCATTGAGAAATGAAAATGAAGAGCTGATGAATCCAACAGAGAAACCGCACCATTCAGCTGACAAAGTTAAACCTGAGATGGCCATCATGGATGTGAGATCTGGGCAATATGATTGTAAAACAACTACTACCAAGGTTAAATTTAAAGCTGCCAAGAAAAAGTGCTCTGTGGGTCGTCACCACACTGTTCTCAATCACTCCATCAAGGTTATGAGCAATGTGTTTGAGGACCCTAGCAAGGACGGCTGGCAGGATGTGAGTGAAAGCAGGTAAGGCTCTCATTAACTTAGCTCTGTGGTGGGGACACTGTGCATATGTAAAGTACTGGCAAATGGAGATTGAATTTCAACTACTGTCGATTTGGTATTCAGAAAAAATACTGTCAGATCCTTTGAAATATCTTGGGAGGTCTTGTTCTGAGCTTATTGACTGAAATTTGCATGCAAAATTAGCCACAACTGCATGAGTATTTGAATAGGTGCCAGGAAACCCAAAAGAAGGCAATGCTTGATTTCTTCCAGTGATGCTATTTTCATGCAGTCATGAGGCTTGAAATTGACAGTTTGGCAGGTTGATTTAATTTGCTGGCCCTTTGCATATTCACCACTGACAGCTAAGGATTCCCAGGCAAGCCTACTAAGTCAGTTTAGTTATCTTGTGACATGCCAACCTGGGAGGAGAAACATTTTTCCCCCTTAATTTAGTTAGATAAATTTTGAATGACCCATTTCAGCTTGTTACCAGATGTCTACAAGCTGTTTAACATCCTTTAAATTAAGAACCATCTTCACTAATTATTTCATGTATGTATTATGCAAAGTCATTGTACTAACCTTAATTGAATGGTGGTTAAAAATTATTTCTTAAAAGTTATGCAGATTTCTAGTCTTAAGTTATTTAACACTTAGAGAATAACAACAGGAGAATACTAAAAATCTATAATTTTCTTTATTTTACCCCTGACTGTAATTCATATATGCAATTGAAACATATCAGTAAAACCACAAAGGTAAATGAATCATGGAGATCTCTTTTTTATACCTAGAAAATAGGGACATTCAGTGTTGCCAGAATTGCTAACAGATTATCTAAATTGCTGTAGTTTTTAAAATTCTGTCTTGTTTATAAATGGCATATGTTTTATTTTTTTTCTACTTTGTTGTTGTTTTCTTTTGTTTTTAAACTCCCAATAGTCATTCTGTTTTAAATTTGGGATACCTATCGATAGTTTTCTTAATTACAGAGATCTGAAAATTATGTTAAAATGTGGTTCCCATACATGGTAGAGGCAGAAAGGTGTGCTACCTGAGGGTCATGGCTGACAGAAGACAGATTAACAAGAAAAAAGCATAACACGTGTAGTTAATCAAAATTTTACATGACATGTATTGAAGACTCAAAGAACCAGGGAAAACTTTCCATTTTTATGCTGTGATATGATTAAGAATGGACAGTAACATTGAAATGTGATTGGACCAAAAGGGTATGAACTAATGTAATGGACCAAAACGAGAAACTCAGCAAGGCCTGTTTGTTCAGAATTTTCTTGCTCTTTCCACGTGGCATTTCTTCCTCTTAGATATGATAGGGCCCATTCTCTAATGAAGGTCTTATGATCTATCAGACAAGGGAGATTAGAGAATTTCTTTATGGTCAGCTCTTACACCGAAAGGTATGGGAAAATTTCATGCTTTTAAGCAGTATGTCCTGCCTTAGGGAGACAGAGGTTCTAGTTTATGTGACTTGCCTTGAGGAGGAGGGATTCTGGTTTGTGACTTGCTTTGGAGAAGACTGAAGGGCAAGAGAAAGGAGGACAGGAGAAGGTCAGAGAGATCTTGATTCTGAGGCTATCCAAAGTTCTTTAGTTCAAGGTATTCTGCATGCCAAACTGCCATAATTTTGGGTATTGTTTTCTGAGCACCAATGCTTGTTTGCATATTATAATCACCTAGGGCTCTTATAAAAATCCCAAAGCTCAGGCCGCACCTCAAACCAGATAAATTACAATGTTTGGGACATGGTATGGCTTTAGTATGTTTTTGAAGCTTCCCAGCTGATTCTAGCACACAGACAAATTTGGAAACTACTGTTTTAAATTATCATCATGTCAAGCCCCTTGACCTCAGGCAGGTAAAAAAAAAAAAAAAAAGCTGAAGAAACAAATTTATTAAGGTAAAGCTGAAGGACCAAATCTGCATTTCATTTCCTTGTTACCTCTTCCAAGGTTCTTTTCCCCTTTTCTCAAAAGCAATTAAAGATGAAATCCTACTTAATTTAAAATTCACTAAATATTTACCTATTACAATATTCAACAGGTTCATGGAAAATGGAATTAAAGAAGCATTTATTTTGGTGCAAATTTTTTCTCAAAATATGCATTTTCCATGAACTTTTTGAAATACCCTCATGTGTCTTCAAGGAAATTCAAGTCACAGTACCAAATTTATTGCAGCCACTTGGTATTACCACAGTATTCATAATTTAGTGGTATAGTTTATGTGAGTATGTATGTATGAATAAATGCATAAAGTTAAGTAATGCACTCTATTCTAACTTCATTATACTAGTGCATATGCAGAAGGTCACATATTTTATGAAATGTATCACACTATATCTCTTAAAAGAAAGGATTGTCATTTAAGTTATTTAGCAGTAAAACTCAATTTTTCACTGTGAAGATTAAGTGTTAAATTTCCTGCCTGACAGAACATTCTCCTAGGAATCAGTCAGGTGCAAAGAATTCTCAATTAGAAATCCTACAGTGGAACTTTAGGGACGTCAGAAGGTTCTATTTCTTTTTTTTACAGTCTGAAATACAAGAAAGTTATTTGGATACTGAGAAAAATGGCGCTTAGTCATATGTAATAATACTATTCTGTATAATTATTACCTCATTAATATTTATTTCCCATAGTTGAATAATACTTACCAGAACGTGCCCATTCAGTGATGAATGATAACCAGGAACTGTTTATACATTCAAAAAGAAAACAGAATTTTTGTTTCCCTGGCAAAGTGAAATTTTTAGGGAAAAGCACAGAATAAATGAATATATTAATTAGATTATAAAGAGTTGCAAAATTGCCATCCCAAAATAAATAAGTGTGGCATAAGGATTATTTTGTGCTGGATGCAATTAAGAAAAAGCAGGTTTAAGAAAAGCTTTCTACTTTCCTCATGAAAGTAGGATGTAAATTTACAAAAGTGTCTCTCCCCCTCTGTCTACCAGGAAGGACTAATCACTGGGATGCCATCACAGAATCCTACTAAACAAGGGTTATTAGCTAACCTTTACCAATCATTAGTGTCATACATATTTGCCTTCTCATAGTTTGCTATTCTTTGTGACTCAAGGTCTTTTTCTTTTTTCTTTTCACTTGTGTAAAAATGTTTTGTTCTTTGTTGAAGATGCTAAATGATCTGTAGTCCTAAACCACTACTTTGAGCTACTGACTTATGTATATTCCCATTCATTATATGTGATACACACGTCAATAAACTTATTTGTTTTTCTCTTGTTAATCAGTCTTTTGTTGTAGGAGCCCCAGATGACAGCTTAGAAGGAAAGAGGAAGAATAATTTTTTTCATTTACAATTATAGGTTCTACTTGCATTTTCTCTTATCATTAAATCATTTATTTATTGTCTTGTCAGTTTTCCACAAACACATCATAAGTGCTTTTGAGTCTATATCTTTATTCTGACTGACTTTGTATATCTCCCAACCAGTGCATTTTATTCTTGTTCAAAAGTATTTTAAAAGACACTGATGATCTTTGACCTTCCTTTTATTTTTTAGTTCAGGAATGTATCATACTATTTTTGTTCTTTTGAAATTTTAAACCTTAGTCGTAAAACCCTTTCCACCTTTCTCACTTTTTCTGTTTTCCCTTTTTTTTCCTAATTTCCCTTTTTTCAGATTTCAAATTTAGAGTTAACATATAATAGTAACATTTTAATGGGATATTGTATTAGAAAGTTTTTCATTACTACTGTGAAATACCTGAAGCAGCTAACGTTATAAAGAGAAAAAGTTTAGTTAACACACAGCTATGGAAGTCCACGGCCTAAGATCAGGTTGCCCCATTGATTTGGCCTCTGATGAAAGTGGGAAATCCAATGGTGGAGAGTGTGCAGAGGAAGGGCTAACATGGGAGGCCAGGAAGCAGAGACAATGACTGGGCCCAACTCGGGCTTTTATAACCAACCCTTTCACAAGAAGTACCTTCTGATGACATGTCCTCATTAACCCAAGGACCTCCCTCAAGGTTCACCTTTCATATACAGTAATCATGTTATGTTGTTATGTTCTTAGTACCATTATTTTATGACTTGTGGGTTTAAAGTCATACATGAGTTCAGGAGCCAAATCATGTTCAAACTATATTTTGTACAATGTAGTTTTTCAGCTTGTGCATACAACGTGTGCTGAGCAAATTAGGTAATTCCCATTTCCATTTTCTTATCATTTTTTAATGTTTAGAGTCTTTGATCTCCTTTCCTCTTGTTCTTCCTAAAAGATAAAATATTCACACCATGTTGCTGTGGAAAACTAGAACTTATTTCCTCTAACTCTGTTTTGGTACTTGTTACTCAACCTTCAGCTATTCTCCCTACCCATTGCCCTTCCTGGTCTCTAGTAATTACTGTTCTACATTCAAGTCAGCTTTTATTTTAGCTTCCAAATATAAGACAATATCTGGCATTTTATTTATTTTTTAAAAGATTTATTTTTATTTGAAAAGTAGAGTTACAGAGAGGGAGGGAGAAAGAGAACTCCCATACACTGGTTCACTCCCCAGATGGCTACAACAGCTAGGGCTGCTCGAGGCTGAAGCCAGAAGGCCAGAACTCCATCTAGGTCCTTGACATGGGTGGCAAGGTCTCAAGCACCTGGGCCATCTTCTGCTTTTTTCCAGGTATATTCGCAGGGAGGTGTATAAGGAGTCCAGCAGCTGAGATTCGAACCCACACAGTCATATGGGATGCTGGTGTCTCAGTCAGCCACATAATCCGATGCACCACACCACTGGCTCCTGGCATTTGTATTTCTGTATCTGGCTCATTTCATGTACCATAATGTCCTCCAGTTCTATTTGCTACAAATGGCAATATTTCATCCTTTTTAGAGCTGAATAATGGCCCATTGGATGGAGATATATATATATATATCCATGGATATATATATATATATATGGTATAGACATATGATATATATATATATGTATACCATATTTTCTTTATCCATTCACCTGTCAATGGGTAGTCC